TTGTTTTTTGTTTACAAACAAACAAATTTGTACAAACGTGTCTTGGTATTTAGATTATGTTTATTGTTAATTGGCATCCGTCTTCTTTTCATTCTTGTTTTTTATTATTTTGGCATCACTTTTACTTTTCACATCATCGAGTCATCAGTCAGTCCATCAAATTTCAATTCATTAGATTTTGTTTTTATTGGTAGTCGGACTGTTTTTTTTCGATTCTTTGTTTAAAAATACATTTTACAACAGGTTTCCTTATTTTAGTTTTGTTTCGTTTTTGATGTTGTATCATTGGGTCAAACTGCATTTCGTTTGAGAAAAAGACAGATGTTTGAATTTACATTAGGGTGTAATGAATGGAGAACTCTTAGAAAATATAACTAAATGAAAAAACTACTGAAACGAAATTGAAGGTTTTGAATTGGCTTAAATATTAATATGCCTACCTCACTTATTCATATACACCGACATTCATTCATACATCGACAATATAATAATTTGCTAATCATATTAATTCCTGTTGGCCTTGTGGTTCACTCAAAAAACGAATCTTCATTAGTGGTATATTAAGGAAATACATCATGCAATAATAACCAAATATAATAAGCTTCGGAGTAGCCAATAAGCCTCAAGTCTTTATTTTTGCATTCCACCCTAATATTGAGAAGAATTTCTCGATGCATTCCCTTTCAACGGCATTTATGCTTAAATGTATGTACGAGTACATATGTATATATATTTATTGTTTACAGCAGACGTACATTGTCCGATGATGATCTATGATGTTATACATTTGATTGTAGAAATGATAAACGTTTTATTTATTTATTTAGAAGCTCATAAATTTCTATTTTCAATTATTGGTATTTATGTAATTCTGAATTATTACCCTACTCTCTGTAGGGATGGCAAAAGAAAATATGTTTACTACTTGACAATATGTTGCAAGAGAAGTAAAGGAAAATATACCTAAACTCGAATAGCCTCATTTTATTATAGCCTTATGGCTATTGAGGTTATATACACTGTGCTACGGCAAAAATGTGCCTCTTCGAAATATTGGTTCAGACTTCATGTTTTTGGACCAAATCCGTTTCAGACAAATTGGAGTCGATTTACAAATGTGCGCCCGTCTGTCTGGCTGGTGCACACGATAACTCTCAAAGGTAGTAACCGATTTCATTCCAACTATGCACATCGTAATATTTCTTCCAAACTTAGTTTATGTTCGAAGATGGGAAATATCGGCCCATTTCTGCTGGTACCTTCCCCACAAATGGCCAAAATTGTGCTAAAAATTAATTGTATAAAGTCATGCAAACGGACTATTCGATTTGAACCAAACTTTGTACAACCTATTACCTTTACCAAGCCTAGATGGAACCCGAAGGTGAGACCCATTGATCCACCCTTCTGGTACTTCCCCCACAAATGGTCAAAACATGCAATATTAATCCAATACCAGGCTAATAGAATGTCGGGTTTAAAACCTTACATAACCTAGCATCTTTACCAAGGCAAGATGAAGAACGAAGGTGGTCCTTTCCTTCTGGTAACCCCCCACAAAGGGTCAATATTTTCAAGTCATGAAAACTTTCTGTCAAAATATTTCGCATCCTCCAAAAAATCAATTTGAGTAATTACAGCTCTTTCGGTTGGAAAGTGCGTTAAACAACTTCAAAATACAGAAATGGCTCAAAAACGTTATATTGGGGCGACCAATGTACCCTATATTCAATACCTAACATATTCGGTGTAATAACAATGTATGTTCAAAAGTTCTATCTTCAATACTGTGATCTATATCGTAATTTCAACGGACATAGATAATTGATATATAAGTTAATTGAGTAGAGAATACGACGAATATACCAAGACGTCGAAAATGAAATGATAATAACAATATCCCGAGATTGGGTATTTTTAAGGTTATATCCGCATTTTCCAACCGACATGTGGTATACAGACTTTTATGGACTACAGATTTTTTCATTTATCCATTTACCTTAATGATAACCATTATATACACATGGAATCGAGGTAAGTCATTTTGAACTCTTGAGATTGAGTTTACAATAGACTTAGGCCGTTATGAAAGAATCTTTGAAGCGTTTAATTTTTCCTAATTAAATCCCTATTATGGGCATCAAAATATACACATCCTGTTTAGGGTATTTTTCATGTCAGCATCTATTGGTGATTGTTCTGTGTTTTTGTTTGTATTTCAAACTGATGATTGGTTTATTTTCAAATTCAAATTCTTATTTATCTACAGCTGTTTAATTGGGTTTATTGTTTAGTGATAGGTGGGGAGATTGTAGACAATGAGGGGAGGCGCGGGATCTTAGACCATCTCACACGTGGGAATTTCATCAATAGATTTCATTTTTAAAATTACATATTGTGTCCAGAATTATTTCATATCTTATGTTAAATGGAGGTATGATTGTTAGGGCGGGTATTGGTATTTGAACTGACGATATGGGTTCTTATACAGATGTTCTGAAATTCAGCACAGATATTCAATATTATAATAAAAAATGCTCCGTGGAAGTGCAATATGTCGTTCGTTTAAGATTACACCGCAACAGAATGAAAATAGACTCAAAAAGAGATAAAGAGTTGCTTCGCTTGGCCGAAAGTGGTGAACGGCCGAATTTGGTTTTCTCCGAACATTCGTTGTCCAGCAGTTTGTAAACGATTATCGTGTTGACTTGCCAAAGAGGTCAGCTGAAAATTTGCACCTTTGGTTGGCCACCAGAACTCAAGCGCCGGCCATGGTGATGGTGTGAGCCGTCATAACAGCCGATGGTCGCTCTCCGCTCGTATTAATCAACCGTGGCATCAGAATAAATGCCGAATATTATTGGAAAATTTTCTAGAGGGTGTATTAAAGCCTTGGTCGTGCAAACATTTTGGCTGCAGACCTTGGACATTCCAACAGGACTCAGCACCATTGCAATCAGCACGCGCCACCCTAGAATGGTTACAAAATGATGTTGCTTGCGCCATTTCCAGCGCATAATGGCCACCAAAATTTGCGGATACCAATCCGTTGCACTATTGTGTCTGAAGTACGGGTCAAAATACCGCATAGCAACATTCGGCCAGCGTGGCCGTTTGAAGGCCATAATTCGTGCCAAAGGTGACCAAATCGAACAAATCTAAACTTATTCTAAAATTTGATGCTATTACCGAATTTTTTTGCTTTCAATCAATAAGATTTAAAAAAATTATGGCGTTTGACTTTGTTGCAGATTTTTTATTTCACCCTGTAAGTGTTAGGTACCATTTTAAGTATGTCGGGACCTTAATGTGGGGGCAACCCGGAATGCTAAATTACAGTCATTAACCCGGAATGCTAAATTAAAGTCATCAAAATACTGACAATGGGGCATTACCACAAGAGAGGTTATGTCAAAAAGTGAATCATTGTATTATAGATGTGCGTCATCCGTCAAGAACCCTTTATACCAAATTACTGCCACATCGGTGGGAAAATGCGGCTTAAGCCTTCAAAATGCAGAAAATGGGAGCTACACTAAAAACCCGAAATTTGTACGACCATTTGACAAACCATCAGAACCTCAAAAATCACGTTAGAGCCAATTCGGTTAAAAAAACCCGAGCAAACGTGACAAAAAATCGAATAAGAACACTAGTACTGGACTACTCATAAACTTGGGTTAATATTGATAATTTTTGTTAGGATCATTTTCTACTCAATGAGAATCCCAAACCTAAAGAAATAAAACAATTTGGTAGAAACACGTGCTCAAAATTCCCTAAATAGTCATTTGGGATGCAGTGTTATATGGGGTGTACCGTAAAATGTGGACAAATATTGGGAATTCTTTGTAGGAAGATTTTCTACCCAATGATAACCCCCAATACCCCAATAACAGCTTCAGAATGCAGAATATTGGGGCGAATCCGTTATATGCGGGATACCCAACAAATACCAAACGTTCTAGCTCATAGCTTTCAAAGCTCTTCTGATGGAGTTTCCCTTTTTTATAAGGTTCTTGCTGTTTTGAAATATAACGAATATTTTCTCCCTATCAAATGTTCATCAATCATCTAAGGGAAAATCGCACTATCAATCTTAATAACCTTGAACTCAAAAAAGAAAAAAAAAAATATTCAAAACATAAATTATTTAACATAAAATAATGACCCAGATTCCACACCTTTAATGGCATATTGAAATTTAATTAGTTTGTATTTCTTAGTCTACTTGGCCTACTAGTCCTCTCCACAGAGGCCAGAATAACAAGGAAATAAATTTCGAAGCTAACAAAAAACGACGGCGAATAGACATAAAGCACGTGTTAGCAATCAACTGATATTTGATTAACTCTTTAAAAGGTTTTCGTGTTCTCGATTTTCTTTCCTAGGAAAGAAAATTGTGACAGACCGGATGAGTGTGTGTGAGTGTTTGGTTTGGTATTCAAAAAGGAGTGCCATAAATACCACACGGGAATAGACTTTGGTTTAAGTAGTTTTCACATGCAAACTATGTTCGGAATTGCCTCTGATGGTTGTTGGTTGGTCAATATAAACATATAAATAAAAAATAAATATATTGTAAGGATTTTCGAAATAGTCAGAATGGAAACTGGGAGCAGCACCTCGTCAATCAAATGGAAGAATGTGTTAATAACATATTTTTGCTATGCTCTGTGGAATTCATTTAAATCACATAACAAATTATGGAGAAACACACACGAAAGACATTGTACAACCACCAAATGAGAAATAATGGAAGAAAGAAGGAAGGGAGGGAGATAGGAAAAAAAACATTGTGGGTCATTTATTTAAATAAAAATTTATGGATACTGATTGACTGTCTTTCTCACATCATAACCAGGTTAGGCTAATGAGATTTTGGAACGCTTTAAATCTCTTTACTAACAGAAGAAGGAGAAGAACTCTCCCCATTTATGATTATTACCACCAATAAATATTTTGAAATCTCTGATAATTTTTTTCGTTTTTTGTTGTTTTATTTTAGCCATGAATTCGTTACTCATCACCGCCTGCCTTTTGGCCCTGGTCATTGTACAAATTGGTGCTCAGGATGACTATTGCTTCGGCAAGGATAACTTGAGACCACAAACCCGCCACTTCACCTCAAAGACTGCCTATCAAATTGCCAAGAGCACAAATATTGAGAAACAATATTTGGTGCCCGGCTGTACGCCCCAGAAAATATGGATCTTCCATAGACATGGCACCAGACTACCATCGAAGAGTACAATTCAGAAAGCGCCACGCTTGGAACAATTGCGCGATTCAATTGGTACAAATTATCGCAAACGGGACGAATTGCCAGAGAACATTTTGTGTCAGGAAGATTTGATTGCTTTGAAAATGTGGAAATGGAATGCCAGTATTACCCCGGATATGGAAAATTACCTGACCAGTCAAGTGAGTACAGAAACATTGGATAATTGAATATAGTAGGCATTCGAAAAATATATGAATGAGATGAAATTTAGTAGAGTTGCTTAATTTGACCCAAGGATGAACCCTATTGAAATTGCTAAAAATCGGTTCAGTTGTAGATATAGCTCCATATATAGGTTTGTCCGATTCCACAATAGTTCACAGTTTTGTTTTGAAATCGATTCAGATTTATCTTCCATATAAGTTGAGGTCAATTTTGTAAAGCTGATTAAGAGAACCCGATGCGCTTAATCAAAATTATATAGAAAATCAAAATTCATTTTTTTTTCAAAAATAGAATGGGGGTCCCCCTTAATGTTGATTAAAATTAGATGTTTTGCTGATAATTTGAAGTAGATTTTCTTGGAACAGTTGTTATACCCTGCGCGTATTTTATCTAATCTAATGAAAACAAACTGGCGAGTATCAAACGTGACCTGTTTAAAAAAAATTTGCTAATGTCATTTCAGTCTAAATTTGTTTGATTAGATTTCCGTAAAGGAAATTATCAATTGAAACAAAGTAATTTATGACAATTATATAGCAAAATTATGTCAATGTTTTATGTTGGCATTTTACTATGGGCCAGGAATCCATTTTTTTTTCAAAAACTCAATTTCAGGTAGAGCCAATATAACGTTATATATTTCAAATCCGGAGACTTCGAGTAACACTTTATAACATTGTGGGTCACGGTTTACAAATGACAAGAGAACAAAGTCAAAATTCCGTATTTGTTCGAATATAATTTCTAATTAAACCAGTAAGGAAAGTAGTAAAGTAGGACTGGGCTGACTATATGATACGCTTCACCACATTGGTTATATTCTACATATGTATCCTAACAGATGTCGCCTTTTCGAAGGAACATTGAGATGAAATTGAATAAACTTAAAAATGTGATCATTATTTACATATAAACTAACATCTACACATGCCATTCTGTATCCTTGGCATAGGTTAACATGAATAGGTCGAAATTATATATAGAATATTGGGAGCTTGGTGGATCATTCACATAAAATCGGACGAAACTATATATGGGAGCTATATTCAATTCTGAACCGATTCTAACAATACTTCGCAGACATCAATCTGGACCTAATTCAGTACTCCGTGCAAAATGTTGTCTCAATAGGAATTTGGGGCATCATTCACAAAAAATCGGACGAAACTATATATGAAAGCGACATCTAAATCTGAACCGATTATAACAAAAATTCGCAAACATCAGTCTGGACCTAATTCAGAACTCTGTGAAAAAAATTTTCCCAATCGGACCAATATTGGGAGTTTAGTGTATCTTTCCCAAAAAATCGGACGAAACTATGTATGGGAGCTATATCCAAATCTGAACCGATTCTAACAAAAATTCACAGACATCAGTCTGGATCTAATTCAGAACTCTGTGTAAAATTTTGTCCCAATCGGACAAATGTTGAGAGTTTGGTGCATCATTTACATAAAATCGGACGAAAATATATATATGGAAGATATATCTAAATCTGAACCGATTTCCTCCGATTTCAATAGGGTTCGTTCTTGGGCCAAATAAGTGAACTGTGCCAAATTTCGTCCAAATCGGATAATAAATGCGACCTGTACTTTCTTCACAAAAATACATGGACGGACGGACGGACTGACATGCGTAAATCGACTCAGACTCAGAATATTCTCAAAAGGAACCATGGGCCTATCTCGATTACTTTTGCCTGTTACAAACATATGCACAAATACATAATATTCTGTACCACAGCGTGGTGAAGGGTATAATAAATTAAAATAAACTCGAGTTTTACTTTTGATATTTTGAAAATTTCCAACTTATCTTGGCATTTCCAGTTCTTCTCAATATCATACTTATAACAATGTATCATTAACAATTTTTTTGTTTAATTTTCTTAATCAGTTTGTATAGCAAATATAGAAATTGAAATAACTACTTACTTACTTAGCTGGCTTGTTACAGAACGGTTGTTCCATAAGCCGAGCTTAAAAAAGATTTCCAAGCGCGCCGGTCTTGTGCGCAAGTCCACCAATTTGGAAGACCACGTTCCAAGATGTTGTTTTCTACTTGGTCTTTCCATCTAATTCGTGGTCTTCCCCTTCTACGGGAACCATCCGTAGGCTCATTTTTATATGCCTTTTGAGCTGGGGCTTCTTCATTCATCCGCACAACATGGCCTAGCCACCGTAGTCGCTGCAGCTCAATACGACTGACTATGTCGATGTCTGCGTATAAATTGTAGAGCTCGTGGTTCATTCGACGCCGATATTCACCGTCGACGCAGATCGGCCCGTAGATCTTTCGGAGAATTTTTCTCTCAAACACCCCAAGCGCTGCCTCATCTGCTTGCGCAAGTACCCATGCTTCTGATCCATATAATAGCACGGGTAGTATCAGCGTCTTGTAAAGTGTGAGTTTGGTCTGGCGAGAGGTGGCCTTGTTTCTAAACTGCTTACTTAGACCATAGTAGCATCTGTTGGCCATCACAATCCTTCTCCGAATTTCAAAACTGATATCATTCGTTTTATTTATGGCGGTACCAAGGTATATAAAGTCTTTAACTACCTCGAAGCTGTAGTTCTCAAGTTCCACAGTTGGTCCGAGTCTACAGGACGTCTTGCGCGTTGATACCATCAGCTTGGTCTTCTCGCCGTTTACTGCCAGACCCACTTTGGCAGACTCCTTTTCAATTTGTTCAAAGGTGGCTGTTACCGCTCGCAATGTTCGACCCATTATATCGATGTCATCGGCGTAGGCGAGTAACTGGTGTTGTTTGGTGTACAGAGTGCCATTTCTGTTCACCTTTGCGTTTCGTATGACCTTTTCCAGTAGGATGTTAAAAAGATCACACGACAAACTGTCACCTTGTCTGAATCCTCGTTCGGTAGTGAAGGGCTCCGATAGGTCCTTTCCTACTTTAACGGCTGACCTTGTGCCACTTAAAGTTATCCTGCATAGCCGTATTAATTTTGCAGGAATGCCGAACGCAGACATGGCTTTAAACACCTCTGAACGGATAGGGCTGTCGAATGCGGCTTTATAGTCGACAAATAGGTGATATGTGTCGATGTGTTTTTCGTGGGTCTTTTCCAGGATTTGGCGCAGTGTGAAAATCTGGTCTATGGTCGATTTGCCAGGTCTGAAGCCGCATTGGTATGGTCCGATGATGTCATTGACCATTGGCTTCAATCGTTCACACAGCACACTGGATAGCACTTTATATGCGATGGGAAGGAGACTTATTCCTCTATAGTTGGCACATATCGTCTTGTCTCCTTTTTTGTGCACGGGACACAGGATGCTGAGGTTCCAATCATTGGGCATGCATTCATCTAGCCAAATTGTGTTAATCAGCTGGTGCATGCTCCTGACCAGCATCTGGCCACCAGCCTTGAATAGTTCGGCTGGTAACCCATCGGCTCCTGCTGCTTTGTTGTTCTTGAGCCGATTAATTGCTTTTATGACCTCATCTTGGCTAGGTGGTATACACTCTATACCATCATCTCCTATTGGTTCTGGGGTATCTTCTTCATCGCCACTATTTGATACTAGCAGCTTTTCGAAATGCTCCTTCCAGATCCTCAACACGCTGTCTGTATCTGTCACCAGGTTTCCTTCTTCATCTCTACAGGAGGATGTGCCTGCACCAAAGCCTTCGGTTTGGTGTTTTACTCGTTGGTAAAATTTCCGGACTTCATTCTGACTCCTGTATATCTCGATTTGCTCACGCTCACGTTTTTCTTGTTCTTTCTTCTTTTTTCTAAAAACACGTTTTTCTTCTCTCCTTTTCTCCCGATAATTCTCCATCACGTTACGTGTTGCTACTGTCTGCAGGGTTGCCCTATACGCTGCGTTTTTCACATCAGTAGCAATACGACACTCCTGATCGTACCATGGGTTTCTTGGTGGTGGTTTTTGGTACCCAATTGTTCTTTTTGCTGCAGTTTGTAGGGAGTGGGCAATTCTTTGCCATTGTGCTTCTATACTATTATCGGGACAAGAAGTGCTTTCTTCAAGCAGATGGGTAAGTTGAGCGGAGTAGGCCTCGGCTACCTGTTGTGTTTGCAGCTTTTCGACGTCGAGTTTCCGTGTTGTATTAGATCGCACCTTTGCTGCAACATTTAGACGGGTGCGTACCTTGGCTGCCACAAGGTAATGGTCCGAATCGATATTCGCTCCTCGGATCGATCGGACGTCTAAAACACTGGATGCATGCCTTCCGTCTATCACAACATGATCAATTTGATTTCTCGTTACTTGATCAGGAGAAATCCAGGTGGCCTTGTGTATATCGAGATGCTTGAATCTGGTGCTGCTAACTACCATGTTTTTTGCTGCCGCGAAGTCAATCAACCTCATGCCGTTATCGGATGTTTCTTCATGAAGGCTGAATTTTCCGACGGTGGGGCCAAAGATATTTTCCCTTCCGATTTTTGCATTAAAATCTCCTAGCAAAACTTTAATGTCATGGCCTGGGCAGCGATCATATGCTGTTTCTAGGCGCTCATAAAATATATCTTTGGTCTGTTCATCTTTATCTTCGGTCGGAGCATGGGCGCAAATTAGACTGATGTAAAAGAACTTCGCTTTTATACGGATTATAGCAATTCGCTCATCTACTGGAGTGAATCTGGAGACAAGGTCTTTTATTCTCCTGTTAACCATAAATCCGCAGCCAAATTCATGTCTCGTTTCATGGCAGCTATAATACAGGGCGTAATCGTCTGATTTACTTACGCCTATCCCTTTCCATCGCATTTCCTGTAAGGCAATAATATCGGCTTTGTACTTCTTGAGTATATCCGCCAAAGCGAACACTGCCCCTGTTCTGTATAGCGTGCGCACATTCCAAGTGCAGATTCGCAGATCGTGGTCCTTTATACGTTTGCGGGGGTCGTCAACATTAGGGGGGTTTGGTTTTCTTTTTCTTTGCTTTTTCATAGTAGGTTGGGTTTTCCGAGAGTGGGCAACTAACCCGACGCCTCAACCCATTTTTTTATAGTTCTTATGGGTGAACTCGCGGCACATATTAGCTCACTATTTCATCGGGTGATGAGAATAGCTCCCCAGGTGGCACCGCGGGGAGGTCAGTGTCCACAATTGAGATGAAAGAGGGACCAAGATAAGCCTGGGCTTCGCCATGTTAAAGCTAATCAGAGCCGTTGCTTGGTATCTATCATCCCCTATAAAGGAATTAATTTGCTTTACTATTGCAAATTAATTCCTTTAGTGCTTCAATGGAAGAGGAAGAGTAAAAATAACTAATAGTTGTTATTATCTGAAGTGGCTCCTTGAAGTTAACAAAGAACTATATAACTATCTATAGATTTTAGTTTATTTCCTTTATAGTTTAACATCTGCTTCGATTTCAGAGAATTTAAAATAAAAAAATATGATTACGTACATAACTTATCTAGGGACGTGAGTTTTTATGTGTCTGTCTGTGTTGCCGACAGATATATACCATTATCGTATGATATATAACGTATACAATTATCATGTCTTTGTATGCTTGTCCTATAACAAATGTATGCTTCGGGGTTCTTCATAAACTAGCCAAGGGAATTCACCCCAATAACAAAGTTTCACCAGATCTTAAGCTCCATTTTGTCGAATAGTACACTATTTGAAGTAGATTTTATACCCTACACAACAAGGTCATTTGGGCATTATTATCAAATGTAAAAAACAAATAGAAATTGTAGCAAACGTCATCAGTATAAAAATAAAACTTAGTTTCTGTCATTTCAGTCTGAATTTGTTTGATTAGATTTCCGTTATAGGAAATTATCAATTGAAAGAATGTAACTTGTGGCAAATATTTACTAGAATTTCTTTATATTTTATCTTGACATTTTTGTATAACAATGTATCATTAATACATGTTTTTCTCTAAATTTCTTAATCAGCTACTTGTCAATCAAACAGATACTTCTAACATCGGTTATTATCTGAAGTGCTTGATTAAAAATAAAATAAAAAGTGTCACAAGTTATTAGCAAACTATCTATAAATTAATGTGTATATAATTTGTCTTGTAGTTTGACATCTGCTTCGATTTCAGAAAATTTTAAATGATATCGAAGTATCACGTACATAGTTTATCTACGGCAGTGAGATTTGGTTTTCTACGATATAGTGATATAATCTAATATTAAAAAAAAGAAAAAACTTCGTTAAATTCGGTCGGGCTGACAACTTCATACCCTTCACCATAAAGTGGACTTGCAAAATACTTAAAATCTATGGGAACTATGCTAGGGTAAATTGCTGTCATTTGAAAACGAAATACAAAACTATAGGCATATAGGGAAATTTGGGCTTTGCATGGTGGCTATGCTGACAAGGGAACTTATATTGAAAATTTTTCCTGATGAAGGAGTTCCAAGAATGTCAAATTACAGCCTGAATATAATACTAAAATATAGTTCGTTGCAAAATGTGCCTAGAACCATAAAAATACCTATTTATACCCTACACAACTATGTTGTCAGGGTATTATAGCTTTGTGCAGCCCCAAGAGTTTGTAACGCCGCGAAATATTGGACCTAGACCCACCTTTAAGTATACCAATCATATCTTGACTAGCTGAGTCGATCTAGACATGTGTGTCCGTCCGTTCGTCTGTTCATTATAATTTGTAAACACGACACAGGCCACAGTTATGGACCAATCTTCACGAAATTTTGCATGTAGGATGAAGACCCCCATTGTTTATGGTAAAGATTGGTTAATATTTAGGAGATTAAATGGACCAAAAACTAATTTTTTTCTGATTTTCTAGTCGCTCTAGAGGCCGCAATTATGGCCCAAACATTGCGAATTTTTAAATGGAGAAGGAGATCGGGCCAGAGAATATGCATGCCTGCTTTGATAAAGATCGGTCAATATTTAGCGGGCCAAATGGACCTGACTTTTGTGTGAAAAAGGACAAAATGTGTATTCTATGGCGTATATATTTACTCCTGAAGGACATAGACTCGAGAAATTGATAGTATATCAAAGTGGATGGTCTTTAAATTGATACCAATTACATTGTAGTATGTACTCGGATATTTACAGGTGCTTACGTACTCAGATATTATTTAGTAAAACATTATCACACTAGAGACGGAAATATAGCGCGGATCGCTTTAAAAATTTCCATGAGGATCCAGCTATGGTCAAGGCTATTTTTCGAGTCGATCTATAGGCCACAATTGAACGCCGAACATCACAACACAACCAACGGTGAGGGGATTCTGGACAAGTAATTAGAAGGGCTGTACTGGATATTAGTAATATTGGCTGACCTCTAGAGGTCATGAGGTTGCAAATATCGCGAAATATTGCCCAAGCTCAGACTAAAGAACCACACAAAATTACATTTCCGTGGATGTTGTGTAGGGTATCATATGGTCCTCCCGGTCCGACTATACTGCTCCGCTCAGTTGTTTTAAATTTAATAATACTTGGACCTGAAAAATCTTTTGGACGCTTGCATTTCCTTTTAGAAGTTATGGTCAATACAATATGACACTGTGGCCAAAGGGAATATCATACGGCTTTCCTCCTACTTTTTTTATTTAATAATACTAGAACTAGGGATAAGGAACTCGATTTTCGACTAATCGAATTTTTGTATTGTCGAAGTTGACTTTTGATCTTTGAGGAAATCGAATAGTCGACTTTCGATTTTCGCATCGGTCGGTAAAAGTCGAAAATCGATTTTGAACAGGTTTGACAAGATCGAAACATCGAAAAGTGGACTTTTTATTCAAATTCAAAAGTCTAAAAATCTAAAGCTTTTGTGCTCAATTACGTATCCCTAACTGTGACCTGAAGAAACATTTTCATATTAGTTTTTTTTATGAAAGTGAAGAGAAAATTGTGTTCTATCTAATGGTTGTTATCCGGTAGACTCCCGCGAAGTTATGGTTAATACAATATAAAATAGTTGAACCGTTAATCACATGTTTTGTCCGGATAAAAGACCGGGTGATTATTCTTCTTTTGTTCGGTTTATAAATTTTCCCCGAAGACTTCAGACAAATAGTCGTGTACGAATCATAAGGACGTCCTACGATGTTCACACAGAGCAGTCGCAACATGACAAGAAACTGGTTACAATTTCCTTCGAAGTGCTTCTTTCACGAACACCTTTTGTTGAAGATGACTCGTCTTCGAAGATCCAGGGTGAATTGCTGCACTTGTTTCGGCTCATACGCATAAATTCACAATTAGTCATCTGTGACCTTCCATATGTCGTCTAGAATAACTTCTTTTATCAAACTTTATACCTTGTCTACTTATGTTCATGCTACAAATTGTTAAAATATATTTTCTTATTTTTTAGGGTTATGAAGATTTGCGCGGCACTGCCAAAACCTATCAGAAATATTTCCCCGAAGTTTTGATTAAGGAATACGACAGCGAACATTATTTGGTAAGCATGGCATTACAACTCTTCGCCGGAATATTTCTAAATTGTATTTTTCTCCTGCCATAGTTCCGCCATACCGACACTCAACGTACTACCGAAAGTTTCAAGGCATTCACTGAGGGTTTGTTTGGTGCCAACAGCGGTGCCGTTGCTCAAGATATTCCCGAAAAAGATGTACTATTGCGTCCCTATGATTATTGTACATCGTGGAGTGCTCAAAATTTCAAAGGAGATGGTTCAGAATCTGCTAAATTCCGTAATACTGCTCTATGGAATCAGACAATGGCTGATATATCGGCACGTTTGGGGTAAGTTTGCAACAACATTTTTTTTTGTCGACTGATATTTGATAATGCAATGGTAATTATATATCTACAGTTTCAAATATACATTGGAGGTCTCCGATATTGAATTGATGTATGATATGTGTCGTTATGAACAGGCCTGGCAAGTTGATCGTACCAGTGTTTGGTGTGCTGTAAGTAATTCGTATTTGAAATAATTGAAAGGGGTGGCGTATACGTGTTGTCGCAACGTATACGTTACAGTGTCCATTCAATAAATCACATTAAGGTTTTACAATTATTTTTTTCTAATTTTATATTTTTGTTTCTTCTTAGGCCTTCCTTCCCGAACATGTTACTGTTCTCGAATACGAAGATGATTTGAAATATTTCTACAAATCAGGCTATGGCTATCCCGCGAATTCCCGCCTTAACTGTCATGCCGTTCAAGATATGCTAGAGAAATTGAGCAGCAAATCCGCACCCAATGTTATCAGCTACTTTGGACATTCCACTGGTGTACAGACATTGCTTAGCGCTCTCGGTATTGATAAGGATGAAGTGCCACTGTTGGCCAGCAACTATGACCAACAGGGTAATCGTAAATGGGCCACTTCGAAAATTGATCCCTTCGCTGCCAATTTTGTTGCTGTCAAATATGAATGTGATGCCGATACGGAAAATAAGGAAAAGGTCATATTCTTCCTTAACCAGGATGCTGTTGATTTAAGTTGGTGCAAGGTTGGTCTCTGCAACTGGAATGAGGTGTTGGAACGTTACAGCCACTTCGTGAATGTCGATTGTGATGCGTACTATTGTGGAGATGGTGCTAATGCCATGAGCATTTCATTGGGCGCTCTCTTGATGACTGCCATCGTTTACTTAATTAACTTAATGTAGATTTTCCAGTTTCCTCTTTCCGAAATGGCAAGTTGGGGAAGGATTCAGCCCTGCGCCCATGTCGCCTATTTTGTATATTTCTTTAGTTCTATTCTAAAGTAATGAAGGCATAGTTGCACCATAACAATAACATTAATTATTTTCTTTAGTATAATTTAAATTATAAATCACAATTCGATGTAAAAGTGTACAAATATTTAATTAATTACTTTCTTTCCTGTTTAAATTCCTATTCTTATAATTTGTAATTACGTTTTTTTTGTTCTTCAAGTGTTATTTTAAAAATCGTCACTTTAATTTTTCCTGTAATTAATTTTCTGTATTTTTGTAGTTCTGTTTATTATTTAACATTTTACAGTGTAGTATTTTTTGTAACGAAACTATGAAACAAAAGCTTTATTATTTTAATAAAAAAATAATTACGAAAAAAGATTTTGTTTAAATTGGTTGGAAGAATTCAGCACGACAACTAAGTTTCGGGTGGGGAATTGCTGTTTTTTACTCAAAGGGCTAATATGACGACCTTTTATGGAGTTGAACTCGTGTCATTTCTTCTGAATGAGGGCAAACATGAACGACTGGAGAAAAATGAACTGTACATAGTACCGATCGTTCCTTTTTCGAAACTAGTTTGTACCGGAACAGCTCAACTCTAATGTTCGGTCAACTTTTAACGGGGCATTATCAGTGTATGATAGAGAGTCTGTTGAGTTAAAGGTCTCAATAATTTTTACTGATTTGCTGTTCTATGAACTGAAGAGTGAATCATAATGGATTCAAGGATACTCTTTAGCTTAGAGTTCGAAAAAATCTTCAGGAGGGAGAAACATCACAAACAATTTACTCGAAAGTTCGATGAGCTAAACGACATAAAACGATGGTTATTTATCACAAAGAAAATAGGCCAACTGACGACGTGGATAAATATGTTTAAATAATATTTGAATGAACTATAACAATTAGTTTTCAAAATTAAACATGAAGACATAATATCGAAGCCTGATGGTTCAGATGTTAAATAGGATCTGGGTTCTGGGAAAGGGAGAAATATTTCAGTTTCTATAGAAAATCGGACGGTAGTCTTCATAGCTGACATGACAGGGAGTCTTTTCAGCTTTTCCAGCTAATGCTGGTAGTCTTTATAGACCAATTAATAAAGTCGTTGAAAAAGAACAAAGCCTGTTTTAGTGTCCCCTAAACAAAATGAGGATCAGAACATATTATGAGAATTGATCTTTATTACCGAGCTGAAGTACAGGTAGAATTCTAGTAGGAAGACTTTAGGGTGTTACAGAAGATAAGGAGTTTTAAGATGTTCTGAAGCTTAGGAACTGGGAGTATATATAAACAAGTTGAAGAGTCACAAAACTTTATAAATGAGCTTATTCGAAGTTTAGGTAGTTTTTATGCACGATCTGAAGGCCAGGGCGTCCCTCTAGACGAATTGAGAGTCAGGCCACTATAAAAAACTGTAAAATAAGAATAAATAAAAGTAAATGTTATAAATGAATATAATTTTTGTGATTTCCATAGTCGAACTGAGGTAAGGAAGTTTTTATATAAAAGGGATATCCATTGTGAGTTTTTAAAAGTATGATACTGGAAATCTGCCAAATTAAGTTGTTATTCCAAGTGTTTTCGTTTCTGTTTTAAAGTTGACATTGACAAAAATGAATCGTTTAACTATCTTACAATGCATACAAATGATCAAAGCCTACTGTTAAAATGTTGATTCTATCACAGCCACATATCGTGCTTTAATTAACAAAATTGTCGTATTTGGGGTTTTGAGAAACCTCAAGTAATTGAAGGGAGGATATTACATCCAGAAAAAGTCGCTGCTTCTTCGAAAACGAGAATGGAACGACTGTTACCGTCGGAGTGCTATGGTCATATTATAACCGACTTTGTTGCCTGCTATTGAAGAATACGTATTCGGCTCCAGTATAAACTTGGTTCACAAACATCGCACAAAAATTAACAAAATGGCAGAACTATAAAATTTGATTTTTGGAAAATTACCTAATTTTACCACAAATCAAGTTAGAAAACCAGTGAGCAGTACAGTCGGGTAGGGCCTACCCTATGATTCTCTACACAACTTCCACGAAAATATAACTATATGTGGTTCTATATTCTGAGCTTGGGCAATATTCTAGATATTTGCACCCTCTTGACCATCTAGAGGTCAACAAATATTACTAAGATTCAGTACAGCCCTTCAAATTACTTCTCCGGAATCCCTTCACCGAGGGTTGTGTTGTGATGTTGTGAAAAAACACAAAAAAATTAAGTTTTCGGTCCACTTCATCCCAATATTATTATCTAATCAACATCGAAAATTATAGGCGTTGTCCTTGACAATACCTGGATCTTCATGGAAAATTCCAAAGGGAGCAGCGCTATATTTTCGCCCTATAGTGTGGTTACTAAATAATATATGAATACGTAAGCACTTGTAAATATTTAAGTGTAATTCCCAAATCCAATTACATACGAAAATATAATTGATATCAATTTAAAGGTCGACCATTCCTCTTCAGGGGTAAATCTATGCACTATGGAATATAAATTTTGACCCGCTAAATATTGACCGACATTATCAAAACAGGCATGCATATTCTTTGGCCCGATTCTTCATATAAAAATTTGTCCCCTCAAGAGGAGACTGTGGTTTGCATAATCGTCCAGCTTAATAAACACATGTATGGTATTTGGGGTTCTGAGAATCTTCAATAAATTGAATAGAGGCCATTACACCCAGAAAAGTCACAATTTTGAATCTAGTTTAGTCTGCCAGATCTGGAGTACAACTTACTCGTATGTTAGGATTATTGTTAGATACGACCGTTATATTTTCCTCAGTGATCTGTAAATATTTAAATCTTGGCCAATTTTAATACAAAAATTAGGAATTTGTGGGTGAGTATTCAAAATCCGCAAAAATTTCGAAGTGTATATTTATTATGAACCATACATGAACCCACATGAACCATAACTACACATTTACTTGACAGAAACGTTTTAGGTCTTTACAAAAGGAATTCTTGAATTCCATAACAACAATAGGGCTGGGTCCAATTTATATTGGTCGGGACCTTCATATGGAGACAATGTTATTAAATTGTGTGCTAGTAGGTTATTAATGTTCTGAAAATATAAAATACTGAATTACAGACACGGAAAACTGTCGAAGAACTGGGCTAGGAATTTAAATATATCATATTAAGCTGGCTAATTGAATGGGGTCAAATACATAGATCTAGATTGAACATTTTCTGGATAGTAGTATTTTATTCACCAGGAATTTGAAATTCCAAATTACAGCCACTTTGGTAAATCAATGTGACTAAAATCTTCGAAAAAAAGTGGCGGAACCATTACCCTTTACCATTTCCAATTAAAATTACAACCTTACGGACATGGCTAAATCTGTGTAGAATTTTATTCTGATCAAGAATATATGTTCATATATAAGTTAATATTTCGTGGTGTAGCATACATTTAATATACATTGGGTAGAAAAACGTGTAAATATTTTTGTAAATTTTGCACTTTTGGTCGAGAATATGTATCCGCCTATGAATTCGCTACAACTACAACTAAATAGTAAAACACTTGGAAATATCGTTCCAATTTTTGGGACATTTCTTGTTAATTCGTTCAGAATTCCAATTAAATTCGCCACATTCGTTAAGTTAAGGTTTGTGGCTGGGCTAAGTATAAATTGTGACGACATATTTTTTATATTCCAATATGAAATTAAATATGAACATTTAAAAACTTTTTTTTTTTAAATCAAATATAATTCGTTTATTGAAATAATGTATTACATTAATTAAATAGTGTTCAAACTTATTTAGTTTATTTTGCTGTATATTCGAAATGTCGGTCGAATACATCAAATTTTGTCTCGAACTTTTTAGTACATTTCTAAAACTTCGAATTAGCGTTACTGCCAGTCATCTATTTATACGATAGCAAATCTTGTTTATATATTTCGAAATTTATTTAGTTGCCCTGCAGAACGCCACCTATGGGAAGGTGCACAATATTGCTGAACGTTATTTGATTTATTTTTATAACGGTAGCTTAGACAAAAATCAGTTCAGGAATATGTAGTTTCATGAAGTATCAGTAGATGGCGCTATCACTAGTTCTAAAATAATTTTGTATCAACGCCAAATGAGCTGTAAACAATTCAAATGAACTTGCAACAATACAAATGGAATGGAAAAAGAAATCCTGTACCTGAATTATCGCATTCCATTCTAAGTAATGATCAGGGCATGATGATAGATCCGAAGAGGTGCGCGAGTTATTTTATCAGACAATTCACAGAGCACCCCAAGAGTGACAGAGCGAAGGGAAGTGTATTGCACAGCATACGATCTCTTTAATCCAAGGAGAAATCACCACAATTTATATTGGAGGTTGTTGTTGGAGTGTCATAGGAAGCTTAAAAGGCGCTTGGTCCTGATGGAATCTCTATGGTGATGTTAAAGCATCTATATGAGCCAGATGTAGAAAGTCCCAATTTTTTGGTAGCCATACTAATAGTTCCCGATTACTGGAAAATAGGCACATTGGTCCCACTACTGAAGCCAGGCAAGGATGCCAGAAATGTGAGTCTTACAGGCCGATTTTACTTTTGTCTCCACTAGCTTAAATACTTGAGGCATTGTTACTCTCCACCATTAGTGAATGCTGTTCAGTTGACTTGATATTATCAACACGGATACCGGAAGCAGCGTTGTACAACAACATATTTGGGCGCAATTTCCATAACGAAAGGGCTTAAAGGGACGTGCCAAATACGCAAAAAAAAAAATTGAGGAAGACCGAATCGGCGTTCAAAAATGTTGAATCAAATATTCAGAAAAAACGGCTTTAATGCCTTTTGTGCATATCATAAGAAAGCTAGAAAATAAACGCTCCGGTTCTTCCTCAAAATTTGATTTTTTTTGCCTTTTGGCATAACTATATACGTTTTTAGTACATAATTC